AGGTACGGTCGACATCTCAAGGCCGGGGGTTTGAAAAATTGGTTTTCAACAACAGTGAGAATAAATCTCAGCGAGTAGGTTCCCTAAACCTAAGCTAGGCTAACATGCACCTCCTAATGAGCACTACGCAAGAAACAGATCAAACATAATTGACTCAGGCCCTCGGACCCAAATCCAGTACTTACTTGACCCTGCAGGTTAGGCACATTATAAACAATCGCAATATTGCCACAGAATTCAATCACGGCACATATACGCATATCACTTAGCCACGACGCATGTCATGCATATGATCGTGCTCACACTCATGCTCATGCCTCATCTATGCATTGTCGCACACTTGCATTCTTGCACACTTGCCATTTATCAATTTCTCCTCCGACCCGCATTAAACGCATCAGGTCCGACCGCGTAAAACGCATTAGGTCCATCACTTCGAGATCGATCTCCGGCCCGCGTAAAACGCATCAGGCTCATGACGCAAAACCCGCGTAAAACGCCTCAGGTTGGTCATCTTCCGGTAATCCGGGCATCGTCCCGCGTAACACGCCTCAGGACGGGTTCAATACCCTGCGTAAAACGCCTCAGGGCTTTATGTGATCACACATTCACAATCTCCAATTATCATATGAACCCCGCGTAAAACGCATCAGGGCATTTTAGGTGATCACGCGCTCATGTCATTCGTGCACACTCGTATATGCACATGCCATGCCAATGCTCGAGATGCACACCCATGGCCATAAAGTTCATACTTGGGCACTCACAAATTTCACAATGAGCATTCAATTGCGCAACGCCACTTATTCAATTCACAACACAGCATGCTCAATCCACTTTTCAATATGCCCAACCAACATATTAGCATGACCATGAAAGCAATTCAAAGCACTCTCGCACGGCACATAAATCACACATATAAATCGCACAGTTCGATCAACATGAATCCGCGCCTTCAAGGCCTACTAAGCTACTCCATTCTTAGTCACACTAGGCACATCACACGGCATCCCAAAATTAATCACCACTTAAGACAAATCAGCCACTTAATTCGCCAATCTAACCTCCCCGGTAATTACACAATTAAGCCTCGAATTGAACGATCTTAGTCCAAATCGGTCCCGGTACGGACAGCCACCAAATAGGTCATTCTAGGCCAATAAATATCCTCAATAAACTCCATTTGGCTCCCCAAAACATCACCCAAAACAGCCACCATGAGAACAATGCGAGGCGCGCACAATATTCCACAATTGAACCCGAACTTAACCGAACTCGGGCCAATTCAATCCAATATTTCCAGCCATCACACAGCACATTCTAAGCCGCTAAACCTCGATTAAATTATCACCCTAAGCCACGAAATCAGCCACCATAACAGCCCCTAACAACCTCCACAATTTAACCCCTAAAATACCCTAATTAACCCCTAAAACCCATCTGGAAATGTAAATTAGCCTAATTAGGGTTTAGGGTTGTACTCACTCGGATTCCTATGCTCCAAACTAAGCTGGACAGAGGGCGAGGGCGGCTGAACAGCGGCGGGGCAAGCGGCGGCGATGGGCGGCCTTCACGGAAGCGGCACCGGCAGCGACGGCTTGCGGACGGCGTCCACGGTGGGGGCTGCTCACGTGGCCGAGAGGGGGAAGGAAGAGAGGGAGAGAGAGAGATGGCTGAATGGTGGTGGCGAGGCGAGGCAAACGGCGGCACACGGCGGCGGCGGCACTGGCTCCGGCAAGCGGCGGCGGCGTGAGGCCGGGAGGGGAAGAGCTCGCGGGAGAGGGGAGAGAGGAGAGGGGGAGTGACCGGCTGGCTTGGGGAGGGGGAAATGAGGAAGAGAGAGACAGACTAGAGTGTTTATGCTTGAGTGAGGAAGTGGAGTGGTTGACCAACCAAGCAGGAATGCCCATTTTACCCCTAAACCAAGGGCTAGGATCACATCTAGAATAAACATCTAGGGGCACAATTGACCAACATTTCTAACATTATTGGGCTGAAACAACTAATATAAAACCCTAAAATATTTCCCCAAAATTCGAAACGCTAAAAAGGCCTAGGGGCAAAACGGTAATTTTCCGGTCTTGGGTCAAATTTCCAATTTTCGGCTCCACTGATCCCAAATATGAGTGGCCATATAAAAATGACGTCGTCCTTGCAAAATAGTTGCGTACGCCCACGAAACTCGACACCAAAGTCCGGACTCAATTCCACGATCGATTTAGCTTGATTTGCAGTTTTAGCGTCTCTTACTAACGAGCGGCTGTTTAGGGGTTACGCATATCGACCTAAGGCTACTCGAGTCATGACGGTCTCGATTTCTCAGAGAATGCGAGGATTTATCACTAGTACCAGGGGTCGCGGTCGTTCGGAATAAGTTCGGGATCGTTCGCCGCGCGTACTCTCGGTCGTGCGGAATCACCCGCTATCCGATCGTACGTCGTCGGTCGAACCAAATCCGTCACTCTCCTTGGATCGGCCCATGTCGGCACAAAATATTCCCTCGTCGCTTCTCGGAATCGGACTCGATTCACGGTCGAGTTCTTGGGTCCACGCACCGTTTTCCTAGTTAGCCATTCCCTAATGGTCAGCATCCCGAGAATGATCAGTTCTGGGCGAGACTCACTAAAACGAAATGAGAAATAATCATCTATTTTATTAATCCCAAAAGTGGGTCGAATTCAGGACGTTACATGAGATGTGAATTGAACATGTTGTGGCGTTATTTGAATAAATAGCCAAATCATATTGAGTGCCCAGTGTGAATTTCATGAATGCCGAGTGCGGATATTGTGGCCATGAGTGTGCATCTCGAGCATTGGCATAACATGTGCATATACGAGTATGCACGAATGACATGAGCATGTGATCACCTAAAATGCCTTGATGCGTTTTACGCAGGGTTCGGATAATAATTGGTGATTGTGAATGTGTGATCACATAAAACCCTGATGCATTTTACGCGGGGTATTGAACCCGTCCTGAGGTGTGTTACGCGGGATGATGCCTGGATTACCGGAAGATGGCCAACCTGATGCGTTTTACGCGGATTTGTGTCGTGAGCCTGATGCGTTTTACGCGGGCCAGAGATCGATCTCGAAGTGATGAACCTGATGCGTTTTACGCGGGTCGGACCTGATGCGTTTTACGCGGGTCGGAGGAGAATTGGTAAATTGCAAGTGTGCAAGAGTGCAAGTGTGCGAAAGTGCATTGATGAGACATGAGCCCGAGTATGAGCATGAGCATGAGCATATGCATGACATGCGTTGTGACCAAGTGATGTTATGCATGTGCCACAATTGGGTTCTGTGTTATTATTGTGAATTTATAAAGTGCCTAACCTGCAGGGCCAATTGAGTTTTGGATTTGGGCCCGAGGGCCTAAGTCATTTATATTATGGATTGTGTGTTGTTTAGTGCTCGTCAGGAGGTGCATGTTAGCCTAGTTTAGGTTTATGGGGCCTACTCGCTGAGTTTATTCTCACTGTTGTTTAAACCCAACTTTTCAGACCCCCGACCTTGAGATGGTGGATGCGCCACTTCGTTTTGGGATCTCGTATCGCATAGAGCGATCGGTGACCGAGCACCCCGTAAGGAACAGGGAGGCTTATATTAGGCATTTCGTTATAGTTTGGGTCGACGAGGGCGGGCCACACTTCCGGGCCCATCCTTATCTAGCTTGGTGTTTCCGAGATCAGTTCGGCACGCATGGAACCCTTTGGTCCTTCGACATCCCGTTTGACATTTATGGCCAACCGGATCTGCAGGCTGCCGATGGAGAGGTCGTGAGCCCCGCTGCCACGTCCGAGGAGGATTCCGGCGCCCAGCCAGTCATTATTGAGATGGTTTTCGAGTCCGAGGGAGAGGAGTCGATGGACTGGGAGCTCGACGTCGAGCCGGAGCCGATGCCCATGGAGCAGGAGATAGAGTCGGAGCATGATTCCGGGGCAGAGTCAGCGGATTCCGAGTCCGAGTCGGATTCGATGGATTCTGAGTCTGAGTCGTCGGATGACTCGTCTGAGTCCTCGGGATCCGACCCGGACTGGTTGCCTTAGAGTTTACCCCTAACCATAATTAGGTAGGACCGACACTTTTTGGATAGGTGCCCTTCCTAGGTTTAGTGTTCTGACCACCCGAGCCACATATCCCTTTTTGATGTTAGTGGCCATTGACCCATTTTTTGTTAGCGTAGAGTTTTGTATTGATGGATTTTGTAAATCCTTGTTCATAATGCAAGTATACATATTTGATGGTTGTTGTTCATTGCTATCCTTGGTTATATGATTTTATATTGTACGAGTGTTTGTTACTTCCGCTGTGCATTGTTCTCTGTTGTTTGGGTTTTGGGTCGGCGACGCGTCCTGGGACGTCGCACTTGAATCGACCTCGGAGGGATGATCGCGCGCTCGTATGGTTCGGGGCGTGACAGTCAAATACAGAAAATGCAGAAAATTCTGCTGCAAAACCCCTTATGTTCTCATGGGTAAATTCAAACTTTACATTGATTGAAAACTTGGCACTCTCCGAGGTGGTGGCTTCATTCTCCATAATCCGATCTCTCTCTAGTTCTAGAGTTGGAAGAAACCAAAGTAGGCATGCATACAACATCCCTCAGTCTTAATTAAAATGTGTGTTTGCACTGATTAGTACATTTTATAAATAATGACACAAATGATCCCTGAACTTTGGCTCAACATGCAACTTGATTTTTGAACTTTTAATTTGTTCAAGGTGATCTCTGAACTTTTGGTAAATGTTTAAATTAGTTCACTGACTATATGCAAATATCCAATGTTATTCTTCAATTAATTTAAGTTCAAGGACAATATTGAATATTTTCGTATAACTCAAAGACTAATTTGAACATGTACTAATAGTTCAAGGATCACATTAACAAAATTAAAAGTTCAGTGGCGATATTGCACATTAGGCTAAAGTTCAGGGACTATATTATACAAATTAAAAGTTCAAATATCACATTACATATTAGGTCCAAGTTCAATGACTATTTGTATCATTTTCCCTACGTCTTATCGTTCACCGGCCAATGAACCACATCATGAAAGGCACAGCTATCGAGAGACCAAAGAAGATGTTGCTGACCAAATCGTTGGGACTAAGGGTGTGCATCACAATGTCATATGTACCTATCAGGGCCAACAGCGCGATTCGCAGCTCCCTTCGCATCGGGAATCCCGATGTGAGGATGTCGATCACTTGGAGGGAGGCAAAGAATCCAGCTGTGTTGAAGATCACAAAGCTGATGTACGCTAACTGGTTACTCGATCCCAAAACCGCCTTGCCGGCTTTGGGCGATGCGGTCCCACACTTCGTGGGATCGGTGCTGTTAGTCGAGGGCCCTGAATTGTCCTGCCAACGTCCGCCCGGCGGCTGAAGCACGGCTTGATAGGTAGCAGTTGTGATGAGAGTAGCGACGACCAGCAACACATTCCGTACATCACTCGCGGAGTCCTTTCGTTTGTTGTACTTGAAGTCCTCGAACAATTGGATTCTCTCATAATCGAGCTTCAAGAAACAAGTGCAGTAGTTGGTCCACGTTGATCGGCCGCGATTTCCGCTTGATTGATCGGTTTGGGCTTCGGGGTCTTCAGTCGCCACCATTACCATAGAACTAGAAGGCAATCCCCTTGCTCTCGTGGCTCCAGATCGTGTGAGGATTTCAGCAATTTCCGCATCACCCACTTCATTGTTAACGAGAAATAGGATGTCTAGAGGCGTTAAACCCGCCCCATTTATGGCATTCACTTCGACCAGATCTTTGTCAATTGCATAGCCTGAGAGCAGGAACTCCACTACCTATTCGATGCAATAACATATTTTATTTATCATCCAACATTCTCGTGGTGCAATTTTTCTTGACAGGGTAGCAGAAACATGCATTCGAACCCTAAACATGGATTTTCACACTAACTAGAACTATTATTGATTCTCTTTACAAATATTTTTAATTGTGAGATTTTATGGAAATACTGTCAGCCGTTATAAAACTTAAGCTGCTATCGATTCTCTTTGCAAAAATATTTGTTAATTATTATTGACGATGAAAATATTTTTCGTGAGCTAATTATTTCAAGCGATACAAACAATCATTTTTAAGAAAATATTTTCCAACTCATTTATTTTCCTTGAAACAAACGTTGTCTAATAATTGTATTTGCTTCGCTTGTGAAGAACAAAGGAGAGGAACCGATACGGCGAAATGAAATGGATCACAAGAAGTGGGCACTTGCCTCGTATTGCTTTCTAGCCATCGCGAGGTGCAAGATATGGTTTCCTTGGCTGTCCCGCCAATTCAAGGCGCGCTCTTTGTTCGAACGCTTCAGCTGCTGCACCAGAAACTTGAGTGCCTCAAACCGGCTGTTCTTCACGGCGAGGTGGAGGACGCTCTCCCTCCGAGCCGTCACTTCCTCGATGGAATCAGGACAAGCCAAGACCAGTTCCTTCAGGACTTCGCTCCTCCCCTTGATGGCTGAATAGTGCAGAGGAATCCTTTCCTCTCTCCCCTTCACTAGGCACAGGCGATTGCCCACTTTCAAAAGCTCCCGGACGATATCCACATCGCCCCTCGCCGCGGCGATGTGCAGAGGACTGAAACCGTCCTGGTTCAGCTCGTCGGCAAACTCCGTCTTTAGTTTGAGGACTTCTCTGACGAAATTCAAGTGGCCGGCCATCGAGGCAACATGTAGAGGGTTGTGTCCGTTGACGAGAGACGCTGCTTCGAGGATGAGGGCGTTTTCTCTGACCAAGGAGTTCAATTGATTGACATTCCCTGTGTGGGATGCGTCAAACAACCTAGGATCCATCTGTTGGGTCTGAGAAGATTGTTTTGCGATACTTCTTTGGGTGTCAAAATAAATGGTTAGACTATGCTCTGCTTAATGTGTTTGTCTTTTATAGAAGATTCTGCATTATTTTGCTATTTGATTTGTTGCTTCTATAAAGCAAGACCAGGAATTAAAAATTGACTCTTGAGTCGTTGATTACAATTTCTTAGTCTGATATTTTGCTTTTTTTTTTTGGTTACTTCTGTAAAGCAAGACCAAGAAGTAGGAATTGACTCTTGAGTCATTGTTTACAATTTCTTTGTCTCGGTCTAGAGACTATAAAGAATCAAAGTCGCCTCTGGCGCATAAGAGTGCCTTTTTCATTCATTTAGATTCTGATTGGGATCTACCCACGGTAACCATTCCATGTGCCCATCGGAATCAAGGTTCAGGCCCACAACTGGCGGTGGCCAGCTGTAAAATGAAGTTGATTGTCCGGAGTCCCTAGTCCCTAGCTTTGTGGACCAGGCCTGTGGAGTGGGAACCTAGTGCCATGATGACACGTAAGGAATTTTCTTGGAAAATTCTAGAGTTGAAGTCTACATGAAAGAAACTTGAAATGAAAACAACAATTGATATGTACACCCAAAACCAGGCAGTAACGTGCACCCTGACCGAGGTAGAAACGACTCTAAGGGCGCGTGAAGCAACCGATTAAATAATAATTATTTTTATTTTTTTGTTTTTAAAATTAATTTTGAAATAGAAATTCGTTTGATAATTTTTTTTTTCTCGAATACAAATTTACAAAAATTTATTCACATAATCAGTTTTGGAACAAATCAAGAAACAAAAAAAATTATTTCTTGATTATGGGAATAAGAATTAGAAATGGAAAAGAAATTTTTTTTTTCTTCTTGGTTTGTGATCGGCCGCTGGCCATTGGCCATAAGCCAGGGTTGGTGAGGGTCGCCCTCGCCAGATCTGGCGAGAGCGGCCCTCACCCAGGCCACTAGCCACCCTCTCCGGATTGGGTGAGGGCAACGTCAAGGTTCCAGCTCTCTCCAGATTTGGCGAGGGCGGCACTCGCCCAAGCCGCGAGCCGCCCTCGTCGGATCTGGCAAGGGTGGCGACACCCTCGCAACCCTGGCTTGTGGCTAGTCGCCTGCGCCGGCGACCTGACCATGGCCAAGGAAAGGGAAGAAGAAGAAGAAAAAAAAGAAAAAAATATTAAAAAATTTAAAATATTATTAATAAAAAGAAATTTTGTGCAGTTACTAAACGCATTTATGTTCTTTTTCTATTCTAAGAATAGAAATTTTGGGTAGTTATCAAACACATTCAAATGCTAAGAAATTATTCCCGGGCACGGAATAAAAAAGAATCATTTCTGAACAGAAATTATTTTCGGGAACAGAATGATTGCCAAACGCTCCCTAAGCAACGGGGCCAACGTGAATTGATCACCTTCAATTATTCAATCGCAGTCTTGAACTCACAAAAATCGAGGTCATATCCACCCCGACATCGCTAGCTAGCCTTGGGAGACTATGGTGTGGCTTGCGTCTCTCCTCCTCAGTCAAGAATAGGGTTGATTGGTTCTTGGTCCGATCCGGTTCTAAGGTAGGACCAGGAACCGGATCGGTTTCCAAAATCGGGAACTGGAGATCGGTTACTTAGGGCTTAGCTCATATTTTGCTATTTTTTGTCAATGAATTTATGTCAATAAATTTCACTTAGAGTTTAGTTCATATTTTACTAATTTTTATCAATGAATTTATGTCGATGAAGTTTACCTAGGGACAAAAAGATAGTGGATTACTAAGCAAATAATTAGTACAGACTCTTTCGAGTCATACTAATTGCAACTTTGATGTTTTAATTTAACCAATTAAATATGCAAATCAATTCATTTTGAAGTCGACATTAATATAATACGATCGATTAGAGACAATGTGGGAGAACATTTTACTTTTGCGAACAAAAGATTTCATGAATATAGGGGACTTGATTACGCTAGATAAATCTAACGCCCTTTCGGTACATTTTATCTTTATTTAAAAAATATTATCAATTTTAATCATAGACTGCTATCATGTGATGGATGATCATGCGTGTGTACAATCATGAATTTAACACTCAATGAATTAAAATAATAAAATGTAAGAAAATATCAAACCTCAAATCTTAAGTGAGCCAAATCAAAGTTTCATTGTAATGGGGTTTCTACAAACCACCGGAAAAGTACAAAAAAGTCCTAGACCTATTGCATTTGTACCAATTCAGTCTTAAATCTTTCAATTGGACCAATTTAATACTAAATATTTTCACATTGGTACCAATTAAGTCCATCCGGCCAAGTTAGACCAAAAATTGCTAATGTGAATGCCAGTCGTCCTATGTGGCACAGTCGATGCTGACATGGCTAATTTTTTTATAATTCTTAAATAATTTTTAGAATTTTTTTATTAATTTTTATTAATTTTTTTGTTTTGTTTATTTTTTCCTTTCCTTTTTTTTTTTTTCCTTTTTTCCTTTGGATTGTGGCCAGTACTCGGCCATGGCTGGCAAGGGCGTCAGGGCAGTTCGTGTCGAGTGGCGAAGATGTGGTCATGGCTGGTGATCATGTGCGGGTGGTGGTCATTCCTAGTTGGTGTGTGTGTGTGCGCTCGTGCGCACGCGCATGGGGGGGTGTTGTGGTGGGCGGCGCTTGACTATCGAGATGGATCTTGGGTAAATGGGAAAGAACAAATAGGGACAATAAGTGAAAAGAAAGGGATAAACGTAGAATCACTCGTGTTGTGACCCCCCGACGGGAGATTCTCGGAAGAGTTTGAGGGATTGCTAAACGAGCGCAAATGATTCCTCTTGCGAGGTGGCGCTTATGCTTAGCACAAACTTTCTCAAGAGCTGTCAATCCTAGCTTGGTTTCTTAATTAATTATTCATTTGATATTAAACTTAGGAGTGTCCACTAATTCATTATGGGCTGATTAGAAGTCAAGTAAGATGCATCAGCTCGCCTTATTTCTATGAATCCAAGATTTGTGAGTTCAAGTACTTGGTTACGCTGGTTTTTATTTACGCCCATTATTGGTACCTTATCTCTTTCAAAAAATGTTTTTCATATAATTTTCCCAATTTTATTCCCTAGCATGCATCTAGATGTTCATGCATAAATGCTCAAGCAATAAAAATTACGTAAAGGAAGATAACGTGAGCTGTATCAGGCAAAATTAATTCAAAGCCTTGTTATGACACCCCAAGACAGAATCCATGTGAGTGGTGAATAAAAAGTCTAACTATCCATTTAGTAACCATTATGTTCTCGGAAATAATTTCTGCTCAGAAATAATTTTTTTTATTCTATTCCCGAAAATAATTTCTAAGCATTTAAAAGCATTTGGTAACTGGCCAAAATTTCTATTCTTGGAATAGAAAAAGAACAGAAATCCGTTGATAATTACACAAAATTTCATTTTATATAATAATATTTTAATAATATTTTGAATTTTTTAATAGTTCTTTCTCTTTTATTTTCTTTTCTTTTTTTCTTCTTCCCCTTTCTTGGCCAATGGCCAGACCACCGGCACCGGCACTGGCAACCGCCCACAGGCTAGGGCTGGCGAGGCCACCCTCACCAGATCCGGCTAGGGCGGCTAGCGGCCTGGGCGAGGGCTGCCCTCGCCTAAGGTCCAACCCTCGCCCTCGCCGGCCATGGCCCATCGCCAGTGGCCGGTGGTCGGAGACTGGCGATTGGCGACCGGCCACAGACTAGGAAAAATGAAGAAGACCAATCAAGAAGAAGAAGAAGAAAAAAAAAATTTCTTTCCCATTTCTGATTCTTGTTCCCTTTTTTGATTCTTGATTCTGTTTCAAAACCGATTCTGGGAATAAATTTGTGGCCCGAAATAAAAAATTTACCAAACGGATTTGTGTTTTTTTTTTTGTTCCAGGGAATAAAAGAATATAATCGGGTACTATTTGACAGGTTACCAAACAACCTCTAAAAGTACTCATGTAAGTTTCCTAAAATAAACTAATGCATAAAAGAAAAGTGAATATTGAAGATGTTATGCCATGTGAAATAATGTGTTGAATAAAGTATTTTTCCAGGAAGAGCCATTGTGCAAGAACACATAATTTAACATAATGCAATCTAAAAATGCAATGCAGCCCTAAGAGGATAAATCTAACTATATAATGTGAATATGCAAATAAATTTAAATTTTCTAAATGCGTTCCAAGACATATTTTTGTGAATTTTTTTAAATGAATATGCAATTTATAATTACTAACATGCAAGATGTGATTTTATAATTCTCCTTTTTTATGAGGTGCGATTCATGGAAACGGAAGTGCAAGTATACCAATTAAATAATGTTGCAATCTAAATGTCCTAAGTATACTTGAAAACATTTATTCATGGAAACTCTAACATTTTTTATATAGCAATTATCATGATGCAAGTAATATCGCCAAAATGCTGAGCTGAGAGCTGACGCTAAGTGCTGACCTAAGAGCTAACGCGACCACATTGAATTTTCCAACTGAACTTTCTGGCAGGCATAAAGACGAATACGACAGGACTTGAAGAGCTGGACAGAGACCATCCATGTGTTTCACGATCGCGCAAGCGACAAAACAAATTGTGGATTTTTTTGGAGATAATCATCTCCAAAGAGGGTAACAGAGCTCTTCATTTTGTCTAATCAAATCTTCAATTTATTTAGCAAATGTTGAATCTTAAGTCTTGATTTACTAGCTTTGTCAGTTAAATATCATGAAAAACAGTGACAGATGTGGCGGTGTGTCACATATAGAATTTTGTCGATTTGTATGGGAGGACTTGATCGAGCATCAGCCGAAAAGTTTTAGGATTTAATTTTGATTATGCAAACTTAAATATTAGGGGTGGATTCTTTTCATGGAAAATCCATGATTTGATTTATTTTGAAATAATTCTTTATATCTTTTAAAAAAATTAGTCAACGACAAGATGTTTTTATTTAGTGCACACATGATTATAGCCATTCCTACAAATCGCATGTATTAAATTATCCCAAATGAACTTATATAATAAGTTGAT